GAGCTCATGGTGCCACGGCAAGGCTACGGCCAGCAAGGGGAGTCCATCAGGTTTTGGAGCGCTTTTCCAAAGTATTCTCGGTATGCGCCATGTATTCCACCCACGTTCAGAATTGTAGGGGTACATCAATGGAGCTAAAAAAACAGTTCGCTTGTCTTGCGAGCTTCTGGAGCTACCAAGGAGGAGTGGAAGTTTTACGAGATAGCAATCACTTTTCGGTATACGTCATGTATCCCACCTATATTTGAAGTCTTAATTGCATTTGAATGCGGTTGCACCTGTACAATAATTTACGAGGGCCATCTGATGTACAATTCACCGTTTTCAGCCTCACAGACGAGTCAGGCACTATTTTACCGGTCACAGGGGTAGAACTCTTCGTTGGCGTAGGCGGGAGCAGAGATTCGGGGATTTGGCCCTCGAGCCGCTCATGAGCCAAGGCACTTGCCACTACAGCCCGTCAGCCGTTGTTCCATTGAAGTTGAAGGATATGGAGCCTCACCCATGAAACGAGCCAGATCAAATGCGTGCTACCAAGGGGGTGTTTTTTAACAGCGCTACATTGAATCTCAAGGACTCTTGGGTAAACGTTCAGATTGGATGTAGCTCAGTTGCCTACTTTAATGTGATAGGGTTGCCGCATCAAGTTGACAAGTTGACTGCCTGGAATCCCAAGTTACCCTTATGAATCGGGTTAAATGGGATTGATTGGGTCGATCACAGCCAGTTAGCATACACGAGCAAGCTTTGAAACCCTGGAAACCTCTTGTTTGGGAAAAGGAATCCATTTTGAGGCACATTATTTCCTTATTCCTGAGGGCCAGCTTGTTCAGTTATGAGGTAGCACTCCCATCCCCTCCCCCCTCTTTCTCCCCAGATCCGTTTCTTCTCTTAAGAAAAAAGTTTGTAAGGTATGACAACCCTTCCGTGTAGGCTAGCTGGCCCTATTCATAGCCACTTGACCTGACATTTCTGAACAAGTACAGAAGGGGACGCGGGAGCAATTAGGCGTCCGAATTTCGTCCCCACCCTTGCTACCAGTAGTCTCGTCTTTTCTCTACTGTCGTAGACTTCTAACAATTACTCATGAGCCTCGAGACGACCGACCGGCTACGCTCAACGACGCGCCCAATTACGATATCTGGGTCAGATATGCCATTCTACAAATACACGCACACACACACACCGGCTGGCATTCTCGAGCCAAAACTCTTGATTCAGGGTCATATGATGATGACAAATAGTGCATAGAATTGCATTTGCACGGGTTCAGGGTCAGTCAGTGAGGTCTTTGAGGCTCAACAAGGTATCGGACCTACCACAGTACGGGAAGCTTTCGTCATGCATCGCCGGATTCTGATAGCAGTCGTTCTTGCCGTCACAAAGTACGCTAATCTCGTGCAAGTGTAGATCTGTCGATTCGGCACTGAAAACGGACAATTTTCACGAATGAGGAACTGTTGGCATCTTTTTGACTTCTTCGCCCCATTTTTTCTTGGCCTTTGGAGCTTCTCAATAAGCAAAAACGCTAGGATAATTTTACAGACCTATGCTGACATATAACGGTGGCCATATCAAAGTTTACGACGAAGGTTGGCCGCATTTCGGGCATGGAACTATTGACGAAATTCTTGGATATGGCCTCGATGCCTGCGATGAGCAGGCAAAAAGCCAGCGGGCCCAGCCAGCCCGTCTGACTCCTCGGGACCATCGTAGCCCTCCCTGAAAACAAATACCTCTAGGATTACTGTATTTGTATAGAAATCAAAGTAATTCACAGGCGACAATACGAGCATTATACCGCACTGATTAAAAATGAAAAAAGCCAGGAACGGAAATCGGTGACGAAAAAGCCCCTCCCTTCTCTGGAGGAGGGTTTTCATAAAGAAGTTGGAACTGAGCCAAAACAGTATTGAAGTCCGTAGCGCCACTTTGGAGACGGGTTTTAGACCACTGGGCCCAATAGTCCCCTATTTGGATAATGATGAGTAATGAGAAGTAGATCGATGAGCACGTCTCACGATTAGGATTAAATGACCTTTACCTGGGCGCCCCGGTTCAAACTAGCACACTGATGACCCAGTTACGTTGTAAAGGTTATCAGCGGGGCTAAGGTAATGCGATGACATTGAAAACATCGTTGGCGAACACTACACCCCCGAAGAACTTCCATAGGAATTCGGTCGACCTGACTGGGAATATAGAGCAAATAGCAGTGGCTATACGAAGACCACAGTCAATTCTTGAAAGGCACAGAAGGACATGTTTTCCGCCGCATCAATGACATTCCTGGGGTCCATAGGAACTTCATGGACTCGCTTCCCGGAAGGGATGAAGGCGCAGAGCCCAGGCGCTGGAACCGTTCAGTGGCAAAGCAACTCCGCAAAACCCTTCGTGTCGAGCGGACATGACAGACATCCTGACCAAAAGCAGCCAGCGATAAAGAAGCGGTCAAGGCGGAGTACAACGACCGTGCTCGAAACGGGCGGGACTTCAATAGACAAAGAATTTAAAGCCAAATATAACCCTCCCTACGCTAGGGAAATCTCCTCTACCGGCGGACCGTCAACCCGCAAGACCTGTGACCTCTGGACGTCTATGAAGAGAATGGCGTTGAGGGAGATCCTCCTTAGGGGTATATGAGCCCTCGGAACGCAGGGAGCATAGATTGTCCGGTGCAGGTTATTAGTGAACGGGGATCTAGGTAAAGGCAGAAGTTAGGAAGGGTGGTTATACAAAGTAGCAGTGGGACAGAAAAGCCGTGTTCAGCGGCATATTCTCATCGATGTCCCCTGTGTAGCAGCAAAGAGTGCTCTAAAGCTCTTCGCAAAAGCTCGATACCCAAGAAAAGTCGAAGGGGTTCAACTGGACGTGGATAAACCCAACAATCAACCCAAGCGCACATAAACCCCGCATCATCTTCTTCTCAAGGCTTAGCTTCGCAAAGTTAGACTCAAGATCAACGCGATCACCCGCCAGTGCAGGCGGACCTCCTCTGACCTCGAGGTCGTCAATTCCCGCCAGCGCTGCCCAAGCCATCCTGTTCTGTGTTCCTTGCGCAGTCCTGATTTCCAATAGCATCTTGGAAACATTCTAGCTCCAAAAGTGTTACAGATTCGGAATGAATGAAAACGACATCTATCAGAAACCCTCACAAATGTGAAGTCAATAATCGATTGTAAATCGAGGTGAATCGATAATTGATTGGTAATTTCAAGAACGTTTCAGAAGTGGTTGCTACCTAGAGAACAGAAGAGGTAGATGGGGCAACTAGTAAACATAAAAAAGGAAATTGAAGTTCAATCAATGTAAAAGGTGATAGATAGAGAGAAAGAAAGGCCTTGTCCTGCAAGGCTAGACATTCCCAAGCATGAAATGGCAATTCGTGTGGGAGTTCAAGGCTAGGAGGGCGAAAGAACTTGAACGCGAATCTATCACCAATATCTCATCAGAATTCTCGGCTAATCGCATAACGTCGCGTGCACTTTCCATTCTATAGACATTCAGAAAGGCATTTTTTGTGCATTCCTTCGAGTATCAGGATATCATTAAGAGGACGCGTAAGCCGCCCAATGAAAGGCTCGTCATGTCGTTGTCGTTGCGCTCATCGTCGTCTTCGGACAAGTTCAAGGGCACATTCGACGACGTTCTGCGTGGTTGACCACGACACCGACCCCTGCTGATTAGCATGCACTTATTGTGCTGGGAAAGTACGCATCATGGCCACCGAGTGACAAGGCTCATTTGATCGTGAATGTTCCCAAGTACACGCTGGACGCCTGAAAACCCGAAACCCGTACAATCATCGGTGATTTGGGGAGTTCAATGACTGACGCCAACAGGATAGTGACTCGCACAATGAGGAAATTGATGAAGGAGAGTTCTCAGAGGTTAACGACAATACCAAGTGACCAGTTCTACCCCGGGGCCGACTCAAAAGGGTCAAAAGGTCAAAAGGCTTTGTCGGAGAAGAGCCTAGCGCTATGGTCCGATAGCCCCAAGCGCTGAAAATGAAACTGAAAATGACTGCTGAAAATCCCTTCAGAAGAGCTACCAGGAGGCATCGAATAGAGGTAACGTGCGGAACTAGCTGGATAATGACCCTAGATCATCGTGACAGTATGAGATGATGTGAGTCTCTAAAGGCGCCTCAGAATGCCTGTTGTCCGAAGTTATCTGGCTCCCGGATCTGCCGAACGATTTTTGAAAGGGAATTATGAAGTTTTTCCCTGCGCTGTTGCCCACTTGGCACCCAAGATCCGAACGCCGGGCCTGTTGCCTATGAGGTGCATACTGAACACCACTAGAACCCTTCCAGAGGATCGTTTTGCAGATTTGGAAGCCAGATTGGGAATGAGCCTTTGAAGCAGGGCATATTAGACGTGGGAAGATCCCCAACGCATCTGGAAAAATGCCGTTCTTGGCTTGAAACAATTTTTGCAATTCTTGGCTATTCCCGAGTCAAGCGCACTATATACCTCTACTAGTCGGCGGTACCGTGAAACGATTAATTCTGATTGCTTAGCCGAACTGTGCCTTTTTCCTCCGCTCTCCACTCGGCGGCAAAATTTCGGGGAAATTCGGTAAGAGCGGTACGTGAGAGAATGTCATGCCGGGGAAAGAATCTG